TAACCTTTTATAGGCAAGTTGTGAAATTTTTATTTAATAAGGAATTAAGTTTAAAGACGCTATAAATAGAGATGAGTGTAATAGATTAGGGTAGAAAGGAAGAGGGGAAATATATAAGGGGTTGGTGAGTGTTGTGAGGAGAGGAGAAAGATGTAAGGGGTTAGTGAGTGCTGTGAGGAGAGAGGAGAGTATATGTAATTCTTGAGTGTAAAGATTTAGAAGAGTGTGATGAGTGAGAGTGAGTGGGTTTTTGACATCTGGTTGTATATTTTCTTCATTAATTCATAATAATGGAAATTTCTTTCTCTTCATAGACATGACTCTAAAGTTAGATAAACCATATAAAATATTATGTCGTGCATGAATGTGTATGACTGTTACTCCATATATGTTTGTGTTGATGTGATGTGATATAATGATGCTTCAATTATGTGTGATGAAGGAGGATTTGACTCCCAATAACAACTAACCGTAGAGTGGGTTGAAAAGAGTCAATATCCCCAACAACTGGTATCAAAGCCGATAGTGGGTTAGAGCTTGAGGTTGGTTCTGAAGATAAGAGAAGAATGATGGAGTGAAGTTTGTCAGAGTAAAGGTTGATCATAGGTTCTATAGAAAATCAATCAGGTTGATGCTGACATGAAGAAGGTGGATAGTATGAAGATACAAGCACATGAGAAACAAGTTTTGGGGACAAGCCAAAGAGTGGTGCTAGTTCTCAAGATACGTCTAGTACGATTTGAGGAATGACTGAGTTTTCTCTAAGCTCGATAAAAAGCATTGCAAAAGGAATAAGAGGTTTGTCGTTTTTGCCCAAAATAAGCAGCAAAGGGGGTTAACAATTGACAAGGATGGTGGAAGAAGAACAAGCATGATGGAATTTGAAAAAAGATGGAGATTGTTGGAGCGTTTTCAATTTCATCATAGCGTTTGATTTGAGGTAGAGAGATCTTCAGTCGAGGTGGAGTTATGGGGTAGCGCGTGCAGACTAAATTCAAGCCAAGGTAGAGATTGTTGGGTTTGTGGCTTGAATTCATGTGCAAAAGATGGATCTATTCAAGTTAATAACTCTTTGTAGGCAAGTTGTGAAATTCTTGTCCAACTAGGAATTGAGTTTGAAGACTATATAAATAGAAATAGGTTTGAGAGATTAAGGTAGAGAGATGAAACATGAAAGAGGTTGGTGAGTGTCTTGAGGAGGGGGGAGATTAATGATTATGTGTAATTCCTGAGAGCAAAGATGTAGCCTTAAGGATGTGATGAATGATAATGAGTGGGGTTTCGACATCTGATTATATATTATCTTCCTTTATTCATAAAAGTGAAAATCTTTCTTTGTGGGCATAACTCTAAAGTTGGGAGAACTACGTAAAATATTGTATTTGTGCGTGGATGTGTATAATTATTATCTTTGTATATTCTTGTATTAATGTGATGTGATGTGATGTGATGAAACCTTCGCTATTTTTGATAAAGGAGGAATTTGACTCTCAATAACAACTGACCGTAAAGTGGGTTAGAAGAAGTTAATATCTCCAATGGTTGCACAGTTAATGTCTCCATTGCAGAGCATGAGGACATCATATGCAAATGAAAAATGTGAAATTTTGAGAGTGTTGCATCTCTAAAACTTCTTTCACATTTATATGAACATTAGTCCTAAATGTCCCTACTATTTAGTTGAATAATTGAATATATTAATCTGTCCTTTACAAGATTCTAAATATAAAATAGTTCGGCAAGAATGACTAATTTGCAATGGATTTAATAGTTGTCACATCTGAGTCCCACTAATTTATTAGTGAGGGAGTCTCGAATTTAACCAGGCACACGAAGCTAGAATTTCATTAAATGTATTTGATAAAATAAAATAAAAATCAATTAAATAGACTTAGGGACAAGTGCAGAAAACACGCTAAAGCATACGCGTCACACTTTTACCATCTATTTGAAAAAGTGTGCAAAAAATACCCATAATCTTTTTACATTGTGCAAAAATACACCTTCTGACATGAATTAGTGTTGTAATACTCGTTTTGTCCTTTTACTCTTCCAAAAATGCCCAAGGGGGTATATATACTACTAGTCTCATAGTGTAGAGGTGTTATGTACACATTACCTTTATATATATATAGTTGAAACTCTTTTCTCTCTATATATATATATAAATATCTATATTTTATTTTATTTTTTATTTTTTATTTTTAACTTTGAGAATTTGTAGAATAAGGATTTGAATTTTTTTAAATTCCAGTTTACTCTTTTCTACTAATTTTTTTTTTCTTTGTTTTATTTTTTTTTTTCCGTACCAACACTGTTAAAAAAATATAATAATAAAAAATAAAAAAATTCCCATTATCTATGTGCACTAGTTTTCGGAGTTTGGAAAAATTTTGTTTTCTTTATTTTGCACTTTATTTTTGTTTTCTATTTTTTATTTTTATCTTTATTTTTCTTTTATACTTTTATTTTATATTTTTATCTTTATTTGTCCATTGCCGGTGTCCTCCAATAGTGTCATTTTATAAAATATATAAAACTTTAGTCAAATTAGGGTTCAGTAAGGGTAATTTAGTCAACTTAGGGTTTAAATTTGTCAGATGAACCTATTTGAACCGGATTGAAACTTTAGGTGTGTTATTTTCACGAGAGGGGCATCCTCCAATAATGTCCTTTTCGGTTATTTTACAAAATTATTTATTTTTATATATTTTATAAAATGGTTGAGTAAAAATTATTTAGTCAACTTAGAGTTTAAATTTGTCATAGGAATTTATTTGCACCAAATTGAAACTTTAGGGATATTTTTTGCATGTAAGGAATGTGATATGCACTTAAAGCATATTTTAGGAGTGTGTTCTTCACTTAATCCATAGATTTATGATAATGACATGATGCGGTGAATTATCTAATAAATGATGGTGTGGTGATTATGTTAGGTCTTTTTTTTTTTTAATATTCAATATTGATTCACAATCAATTTTGGCCACATTGGTTTGATTATGGCCACATTATTCAACCCAGGAAATACTAAACAGTTTGTCTTTTTTTTTTAAATCCCAGCAAATTCAATATATATACATATATATATAAATCCCAGCAAATTCAATATAATGAAGTTTGTTGAAATATTATATATATGATTACTTTTTAAAGATTATTTTTAAGTATATGTGGTCAAAATTACATAAAATAAAAAATAAATAAATAAATAAATAAAGAAGAAGAAGAAGAAGAGTAAGAAACTTGGTGGCATTTTCCCAGAAACTAACCAAAAAAAAAAAAAAAAAAAATGAAAAGAAAAGAAAAGAAGAAGAGTAAGAAACTTGGTGGCGTTTTCCCAGAAAAAAACATTAAAATAAATAAATAAATAAATAAAAAATAAAAAAGTAAGAAACTTGGTGGCATTTTTCCAAAAAATGACCCGTGATATACTACAGTATTATACAACAAAAATCATCCTAGCATAGCATATATACAGTAAGTTACCTTGGTATCCTAGGAAAATGAATGATTCCAAATTGGTTGTCACCTTCCTAAAAAAAATTAAAAAATTAGTTGTCGGTGAATGATTGATTCTTTCCTAATCAGCAAATACTTTTTCCAAGTGCAATGAATTATTTTCTCCTACTTTATTGGTATTATGGCCGACAGTAGTACATTTCAATGGCTACTTTCTACCCTTGGCTAAGTATGTCCAAAGGCAACTTCCAAAAAAGAAAAACAAAAGTATGTTCAAAGACTTTTGAAGCTTTCAGTCAACCCCCGCTTCCTCTGGCTCTTGAGCTTGGTTTGAATTTGATTAGGTGCAAGCAAAACCCATTTTGGTTCTGTCATACTGCTCAGTCTTTCACAAACATATCCATCTCTTTTCTTCTGGATAGATGGAGGTTGCGGGGATCTTTCAATATTTCTAAATGAAAAGGTTCAGGTATATATCAGCGACCTCAATGCACGAGATTTTCGTCATCGCAAGAGATATTCGCAACCTTACCTCTAAATATTGAGATTTCAGTTCCTATTTTCAAACTTTCCCTACATGGTTCAATGTAGTAGAATTTAATGACACAGTAAGTTATATGCTATTTGGTTCTCAATTTAAGAAAACCTAAAGTTTATAAGGGTCCTATAGTCCAACAGGCCATGGTGATCCTTAGGTGAACAATGGAAAGAAGAAAACTTTCTAAAATTTAATTAATCAGTTGAAAGATAAATATGCTTATTTATGTTAGACTACCCATTACACCGGAAGTTCAAGCTCTTTCACCATTTTGTAATTAAACAGTTATGTTTGATAAAACTAAAAATTAAGTATTTAAAATTTTAAGAAGAGCAAAATTAGCAAATTTAAAATTTAAAGTAAATTTTTTTAAAACATTGCTTTAAAATAAACACTGTAGCCATTTTATCTTTTATCTATTACAATTAATAACTGAATAAAAAATTAGATAGAATACACTCTTTGGGATAGAGGGAGTATATATATATATATTTTTGATCTTCCAAACAATTATCATGTGTCGCACACCCAATTAATAAACTCATTTAAACTAGAGATTGTGATTTATTAAAAGAAAAATGTACAAAATCATAAATCTTAGATTTAATTTTAGATTTTAAAATAAGGGGATGCAAGTGAAGGTAATAAAAAACAACACTGCTGTAAGTTATTGTAATAAGATCGCAAGCACACACAAACCTACTCTGTATGCTTTTGTAAGAGAAAAAAACGCTTTAAATATTTCTGTGGGTCTATACAACGAAAATCATCATAGCAGGGTTATATCGGCATATATCAAAGGTTTTTGTTTTGTTTAATTTGACAATAAGAAAGTTTATATTGTATATTGGAAAATAAAGCACATATACAAGATAAGACAGACTAAAAAAATGAGTGGATTGAGACAAAAGATTCCAAATTGAATGATGCTTTGGTTGTCTGATTTTTGGATCAACTACTTTTTTTCAAGTGCCACGAATTATTTTCTCCTACTTCAGTGGTATTATGGCCCACGGTAGTAAATTCCAACAGCTCCACTATCCTTTGGTAAACTAATGTCCAAAGACTTTTGAAGCTTCCAGTCAACCAACCCCCTCTTGCTCTTGCTATTGCTCTTGCTCTTGGTTTGAATCTGATTAGGTGCTCAATCTTTCACAAACATATCCATCTCTTTTCTTCCTAATCGATGGAGGTTGCAGGGATCTTTCTGGGGCCGATCATTCAGGCGCTGCTTGACAAGTTGGTCTCTCCGGCGGTGTCAAACTATGCCCGTCGTGAGGGAATCGATGCTCAGTTGAAGAAGTTGGAGAAAATGTTGCCAGCTATTCGTGCTGTTCTGGCTAACGCAGAGGACAAGCAATTGGAAAATAATGCTGCTGTCAAATTGTGGATGGACGAGCTCACGGACTTGGCTTACGATTTGGATGATTTGCTGGACGACTTGGCTACTCAAACTTTGGGACGAGAGCTGATCAAGCCACAATCTCATGCTAGCACCAGTACTACTAGTAAGGTACGACAACTCAACCCTCTCAAGCTTTATCATAATATGAGGTCCAAAAAAGATATGAGGTCCAAGATAGAGGACATCACTAAAAGATTAGAAGATATTGAAAAACAAAAGAGTATCCTGAAATTGAAAGAGAATGCTGAAGTGATTGGGTTCAAGACAACAAGAGGAGGTCGTGAAACGTCTTCTATGGTCTACAAATCTGAAGTTTATGGCAGACAACAAGATCAAGAGGCTATAGTTGAGGAGTTGTTGAAGGGTGAAGTTAGTAGTGCTGACAATGTCTCTGTCATTCCCATTGTGGGCATGGGAGGTATTGGTAAGACAACTCTCGCTCAGCTCGTCTATAATGATGAACGTGTAAAGGGTCGTTTTGATCTCAAGGCATGGGTTTGTGTTTCTGATGATTTTCATGCATACGTTCATCGGGTGACCAAGGCAATTCTTGAGGCAATTCTTGGGGAAGTCACTTTAAAAATTGACGACTCCAAGTCTTTGGATATACTTCAACAGAAGTTAAAGGAGAAATTGACAGGGAAGAAGTTTCTTCTTGTTTTGGATGATGTTTGGAGCGACAAGTATGACGACTGGCAGCTCCTAAAACTTCCTTTTAAGGTTGGGGCACCTGGGAGCAAAATTATTGTCACAACTCGCAATAAAAAGGTTGCATCAACCATGACTCTGTCTCAGCTGGCTTACCAACTAGAAGGTTTGTCCAATGATGAATGTCTATCTTTATTTGCCCATCATGCACTCGAGAAAGAAAACTTTGATGCAGATCCAAGTCTAAAAGGAATTGGTATGGAAATAGTGAGTAAATGTAATGGCTTGCCCTTGGCTGTAAAGACACTAGCAGGCCTCTGCCGGGAAAAACGCCAAAGTAGTGAGTGGGTAGACATATTGAATAGCAAGATATGGAATTTACCCGAACAAAGTGGTGGTATTCTTCCAGCCCTTCAATTGAGCTATCATCATCTCCCATCTCATTTGAAGCAATGCTTTGCCTACTGTGCAACATTTCCAAAAGACCATGAATTTGACAAAGCTGAGCTAGTTCTATTGTGGATGGGCGTAGGTCTTTTGCAGCTATCAAAAGAAAAGGATCGAATGGAGAATTTTGGCAATAAGTGTTTTGATGATCTTTTATCAAGGTCATTTTTTCAACAATCTAGTAGTAGTAAATCATTGTTTGTGATGCATGACCGTCTACATGATCTAGCTATACATGTTGCTGGACAAATATCCGTTCGGTTGGATAAGTTGGAGGGTAATGAGCAATTTGAAATTCCTAAACGAGCTCGACACTTGTCATTTGTTCGTCAAGAATATGAAGTCTTTCAAAAGTTCAGGCCTTTTTGCGAAGCTCAGCATCTGCGAACTCTATTAGCATTACCACTAGTTCAGACATATCATTGGGAAGAATATCACTTAGCAAACAAGGTTTTGTTTGATTTATTGCCAAATTTGCAATGCTTAAGGGTGTTATCATTGTCTGGTTATTCCATAACTAAGTTACCAGACTCAATTGGCCATATGAAGCATCTCAGGTATCTTAATTTGTCTAAGACTTTAATTCGATCGTTACCTGAATCAGTCAGTGCTCTCTACAATTTACAAACATTGTTATTGCGTGGTTGCAAAACTCTTTGTATGTTTCCTCCAAACACTGAGAATTTAATTAATCTGCGCCATATTGACATTGTTGATACTGTGGAATTACGAGAGATGTCCTCAGGTATTGGTAGGCTGGAGAATTTGCAAACACTACCAAAGTTTGTTGTGGGCAGCAAAAATAATGGGGCAAGACTGAATGAGTTGGGGAATCTGAGCCTTTTAAGGGGGAGTATTTCTATTGAAGAGTTGCAAAACATAAAAGATGTTCGAGATGCAAATGAGGCAAATTTAAGGAACAAGGAGTGCCTTAATGAAGTAGAGTTGGCATGGTGTAGTGAGTTCAATGATTCTCGAGATTATTACCTCGAATTGGATGTGCTTGACACGCTGCAACCACACGTAAACTTGAAAAGGCTCAAAGTTAAGTTCTTCGGGGGCAGGGAATTCCCAAGTTGGATAGGCAATCCATCCTTTTCTGAAATGGTGAACTTGAGTCTTATAGGCTGTAGGAAATGTAGATCTTTACCACCACTCCAGCAACTACCCAAGCTCAGAGAGTTATACATTGAAGGCATGCATGAAGTGCAAAATTTGGGGGATGGACTTCCTTTTCCCTCACTGGAGAGGCTAAAATTTGAGGACATGCCAGCATGGAAAGAATGGTCTTTTTCTATTTCCATTGGTGTTGAAGAATCTCGAAGTCAATTCCCTTGCCTCCGTGAGCTCAGTTTGCGTGGTTGTCCCAATTTGATTACGGTTTCCCCTTTAAGGCTTCCCTCTCTTCAAAAATTATACTTGGAAGAGTGTGAGGAGGTGGTGCTAAAAAGTATAGTTGGTGTGACCTCACTAACTAGCTTGGAAGTTGTGGATATTAGAGGACTGTCTCAGCTGGAGGAAGCATTGGTGCAGTCTTTGGTAGCACTTGAAAGTCTAGTGTTCAAAAGATGCAACCAGCTGATGGCTTTGTGGCAAAATGGCGGCGGGGTTGCACAGGAAAATAATCTTGTCCGTTTACAAAGACTGAGAGTTGAGTCGTGCCCCCAACTTGTTTCCTTTGGAGAAGAATTAGATGACGAAGGGCTGCCTTGCATTAATCTTCAGGAATTGTATCTAAGAGATTGTGTGAACCTTGAGAAGATGCCAAATGAGCCGGATAAGCTCACGTCTCTCACATCTTTAGAGATTAATGGGTGTTCGAAACTTGTGTGCTTTCCGAAGGCAGGTGTCCTGCACATGCTTAGAAGACTTGAGATAAGAGATTGCAATGCATTGAAGTCCGTGCCTGAAGGCATATCTGGTCTTAAAGAGTTGAAGATTGAGAGATGTTTATCATTGAGTTCCTGGCCCACTGAAAATATGTTACCCACCACTCTCAAGGATCTTAGTATTGTTGATTGCGTGAATTTGGAGGACTTTAACATAAATAATAATATTATGTCATCACTTGAAACATTAAGGATCGAGAAATGGCCAAAAGTTGGAATGTTTGTTGGGGGTTGCGTAAATAATAACAATTTTGCTAGTCTCAGAGAACTTCGTGTCGAGAATTGCGATGGTGTGGAGTCCTTGTCGTTCCCAGAAAGAGGCTTACCCAACCTCAGAGAACTTCAGGTCTGGAATTGCGTGAATCTGAGATCCTTGCCTACCACCAACCAGATTCTTCAAAACCTTGAAGACCTATGGATATGGGGATGTCCAAGTCTCGAGGCCTTTCCGGAAAGAGGCTGCTGCTTGTCCACCCCCAACTTGAGATGGCTTCGGATCCGGGGCTGCAATAATCTGAGGTGGTTGCCAATTAAAAGCCTCGCATCACTTGAAGACATTAGCATATATGATTGTCCATGTCTTGGGGAGTCTTTTAATCAAGGCAATGGGAACGGGAATTTGCCCCCCAACCTTATTCATCTTAGTATTGAGCGTTGCGGCAAACTGAAGCCCTTGTCAGAGTGGAGTATGCACAGACTCACCTCTCTTCAATCTCTATGCATTGCCGGTGGATATCCAGAGCTGGTCTCCTTTCCTCCTGATGATGACTACTGTCTATTTCCTACAACTCTAACCCATTTACGCATTGTGGATATGCCGAATCTGAAATCCGTATCATTAAAGGGCCTCCAAAATCTCACCTCTCTTCAATCTCTATGGATCCAAGACTGCCCGAATCTGAAATCCATATCATCATCATCATCCAAGGGCAAGGGCAAGGGCGGTGGCCTCCAAAATTTCACCTCTCTTCAAGATCTATTTATCTACAATTGCCCTAAGCTTCGATCCTTACCAAAGGAAGGCCTGCCTGCCACGCATTGTGGATGTCCACTTCTTGAAAAACAGTGCCCATATCCCCTGCGTTGAAATAAATTTCAATTTGCTCAGCTAGACTGAACCCCCTACTATTCTATATTCTTCTGTAAGGTAAGCTCAGGTTCTTCACACACTCTCTCTCATGCCTCTCATTTTAATCTTTCATAACCAAAATGCTTCATTAGGTCCACAATTTTCGACTTAACCAAATGCATTTTCTCCATTGCAGAATAATGGTCCACAATTTTACATTTATGGAGTGCTTGTGATTAATTAAGTCACACTTTTCGGACTCAGGTGATACTTCTTCTTCTTATTCTTTCACAGCCTCTTCATTTTCATATCATGTTTAGCCTTTTAAATAAAAATAATATCAAATAAATTATTATTATTATTATTTAAAGTAATTCACATTTCACACTACTTTAATTTTTGCAAAGGAATTTTGGTAGGTAGGCCACACAAGTTTTTAGGCTTTTGGGAATATAAAGCTTTTTTTATAAACAAAAGAAAACTTTCGGGAAAAAAAAAACATGAACTGATATATATAAATCGTGCAAGTAAAATTTCAAATTAAATGAATTTGTGGAGTACGAAACAAGTAGGATGAGAATAGGTAGAATAAAATTAAACGTAATTTTTGTTTTTATATTGTTTCATACACGGACTTCAAAAGATTCTTATGAATATTAAAAGGTTAATGGATTCCAAATGTAAAACCACTTGGCCAATTACTTTATTTTAAATTTAGAGAATATAATTTTTTTTTTTTCTTCTCACAGCAGTGAATAACTTATAAAATTCATGTTTAGTGATTATGTGATGTGGGAATAGTATACAGAAGCTCTTACACTTTCAGAACAAAAAAAAGAAAAAAAGATTTTATTATATTTTATAAATTCTGGTAGACAGGTAAATTTTAATTATGCAATGGTGCCTACTGAAATCTCCATAGTTTAGCCTCATACTTCTGTGACTCTTACTTTTGAATTGTGAAATTCTACAAAGTTCTACAATATTTAATAATCAATGGTGAAGTTGAAATTCAAATTCTATGATGACTAGCTAATTAAATGAAACTAAGAGATTGTTTCTGAACAATTAAAGTAAAACAAATAAATAATGTTGAATATGTATAAACAAGACATTTTTTTATTTTTATTTTGGTTAAGTGAATAAACAAGACACATTAGACATCATTTTTTAAGAGATAAGACTAGAATAATTAATTCACACTCCTTGCCAAGGAGTGCTGCGAATAGTTCAGTGGCAGTTGTACATGAAGCAGGATACCGTACCAGTATATGCGAGGCCCATTAATTAAGATTAAGACTAAACTAAGTTATGAACTGAATTACCACTCAGATTACTCTAAGTTATGTTAGAAAATTGAAGAAAGAAATTAGTACATTGCAAAAATGTAAAATGCTGTGTCTCTGTGAATTGTCTCTCTATAGAAGACTTTACCTTTTAGAAATTAGTACATTGCAAAAATGTAAAATGTTGTTGCCAATTTTATATGGAGTGGTAAAGAGAGATCTTCAAATTTTGTAAAATCTAGAAATAATGTGAAGCTATAAAAATATTGTAGGAAAAGGGAAAGAACTTCTAGTTTGAATCTCACTCAATCAATGGAGGCTAATACAACAACTTTATTTGAGGTTAGCAAGTGCTTCACTTAATTCTCTAACCAAATCAACAAGAAGAAACATAAGAATGCGTATTTTTGTTTTCCTTTTCCTTCATTTTCTCAACAACCAAACACCTCCTAATAGAATTCTGTGACTAAATACTTTATGTCACAATTGCAGGTTGGGATGCTAAATTGGTGAATGAGTCGTACCCATGGATTGAGAAGCAAATTGTTTACTGGCCAAAGCTTGGGCCATTGCAGAGAGCGGTGAGGGACAGTCTTTTGGAAGTTGGGGTCTTACCCTTCAACGGATTCACCTATGATCACATAAGTGGACCATTTTTGACAAGTTTGGTCGCCATCACACATATGCAGAGCTTCTTGCTTCCGTAATTTCTGAGAACCGTCATGTTTTGATTCATGCTACAGGACAAAAGATCATATTCAATGTAACAGGTTTGCTAGTTACTCAGATTCAATATAGGATTTTAGTCCCAAAAGTCGTAAATGAACCAGAAAGATTGACAACTAACTATAGAATGTGTACGTACTTGTTAACGGGCAGTAATGAGTTTATAATGTCCAATACAGGGAAGAAACCAGTGGCCGTTGGAGTGATCGTCATGGATGAAAATGGGAAACAACATTGATAATTTCTTGCAAAGAAGCCGAGCAGTGAGATAATAGTGTCGTGTGGAGCAATTGGAAGCCCTCAGCTGCTGCTATTCAGTGGCGTTGGACCTAAGGCTGACCTCAAGAAGATGAACATTTCAATGGTGCTTGATAATGAGTCTGATAACCCCTTGAACACTGTTTTTATTCCCGCCAATCGATCTGTGGAGCAGACATGGATACAAACTGTAGGGATTACCAAGATGGGTATGTACTTTGATACTAGTTCTTGTTACCATTAAGGGATGTACATGGATTAGAAAGAAATGCATAGGCTGAGTACTTATGAGGCTACTGTCTCTAATCTGACAATTTTACCAAAAATATGTGTTTGAAAGAATGACTTCTAAGGAACACAACTAGAATGGACTATATAAAACTATGTAAATTGATAGAAATTTTCTCCCCATTCCCCCTATCATCTCTGTTTAATCTCTTTAGCCATCCGCGTGATCTACAGTGTTGCGTTGAAGGTATTCGTATCGTGGAGAAGCTTGTGAGCTCCAAACACTTCACAAACTTCGCACTGTTTGATAGACAATCAGTGGCCATGCCGCTCAACACATTAATGAAACAGGGTCATTGGAGCAGTTTTGCAAAGATACTGTGATCACAATTTGGCACTACCATGGTGGGTGCCTAGTGGGCAAGGTAAGATCTTAATACAATGTATAGATATACCTTATAAAAGATTGTCTAGGTTCTTATTTTTCTGTTCTGCCTCTGTGAATTTAGGAGAGAGAGTAATAAGCACAAATGGTTTAATATCATGATTTGGACTTGTACAGGCACATGGGAGTGAAGATTTTAAGAGAGATTAGGAAGAGCAGCTGGTTTATAAAGACAGATCAAGACCAAGTAAGGGCAGATGCATTTGTATGTTGTGATAGGGAAAATGTAATTTTCTTAGTGCAATTGTATGTAGAGATAGGCTTGTCAACAATCAATATCGGTGTTCTGTTCTTTTGTATCTATGGTTTGTATAAGAACCAAATTTTATTTATGAAGTCACCTGTTGGTCTTTTTGCTGATTCACTTCCATTTTTTCAAAGTTTCATGTTACTCATTGTTTGATGTAGAACAGGTGGTGTTGAACTATCTGGAGTAGTTACGCTGTCCAAAGCTTAATCCAGAGCTATCAGTTAGACTGAATTTTATGAATGTTGAATAAAGTTTTCGCTGGACGCATCCCCTTATTTTTAAAGATAAGGTATTTTGGTCGAAAACAATCATAATGAGTGGGGTGTTTAAGATAAGGTTGCAATTTAAGCGCATTAAAAGATATAACCTGAATCTAATCCATTCTTTAAATTTGAGTTGAATTCGGGTTTGCAACTCAATCTAATGTTTCGAGTTATAAAACCGGATTGCTTATATGACTATTCTCTAATTAAAAAACTTAATGTGAGACAACCATTCCAGTATCATACTTCAACATAACAATTAAGAAAAATATTGAACTCAATATGCAAGCAATACAAATAGTACACTGCCTATAAATGTGCAAGCAATACAAATATTTTTACTTTCACAAATCAAAGTTAATCGGGTTAGAATATTAAGGATGGGTTAAAGTTAGGCTTTGTATTGCGTGACACATGAACCCAAGTCTAGACCGAATTTATTTTGGATTTCTCTTTTTCACTCCAAACCCGCACCGAATTTCAAATAACATTATCCGAGTCCAATTTTTTTTTTAATTGGCCTCCAGTTGGGTCTAGCTTAATCCAAGGCATAAAACCGTGAGTTAACAATATATATACTTGAGCTTGGATTACATTTTTTTTTTTTTTTAATATTAATATAAGGTTGGCCTTTGGGCTTGGGTTGGCCTTCGGTTGTTGAATAATACCTCAGCCGAAACCGAAACAAATTAATTTTTGGTCCAAAATTTTCAACTTAAGCCCAACCTGAATAATGGAAAAGTTGTCCAAACCCATTTAAGTGATCACATTGGCTTTTAGTTAGCCCTTCGAGGTTGCATTCCTGAATGATTATGATCACAAATATCAATACAGGATATCTTTGATTCCATCAATAAGCAACAAATAAGGAGAAGTTAATGATAAAGAAAATAAGTTGTAGGGAAAAAACTTATTATATATTTTTTATCATTATTATTTTTTTTTATATCGATTACGGTGATGTAAATCTTACATACATCAGATAATTATTCAAAAAATTCACAAGAGGTGGCCCCTATTATGAATGTTAAATCACTAAAGCACAACTTATTAGTTGTTTACTATGTTATTTCTATTAAAATGTAATGGAGTTATATTTACTTATTTTTACATTACATTAAAATATATATATATATATATATATATATATATATATATATATATATATTCAATTACATATCCCTATAATGGTGCACGTTCTTGAGTAACTAATGTTCAATTTTAATCTGAAATTTGAGGTCCAGCTTGATTGAATTATGTGTTTCTGCTAATGACCTAATGACGTACTATTTACTTGTGACTTTGTGTGCCATCCCTCTGAGCCACACCTATCCTAGTTGGAACAAAATTGTAAGTTCTATTGTATTTTTATTTTTTGCTTTAATATTGTCTTGATGATTTGTTATGCTGGCAGAGAATTGTTCTATCTGGAGGAAAAATTTCTTAAGTTGATCAATTTCTGAGTTGTATTTGGTTTTACCATGGAAATTAAATTGTCTCATTATAGCTTAGTACTGTAGCAAATTCTGCTCGACTAAACAGAGACTTAATTGGGCTAAAATCAGCTCCAAATAATACCATATTTCTGGTTAAATCTTAGGCTTTCGTTTATGCCCTCAGTAGCTCATTCGACTCTTTAGTCTTCGTCTTGTCTTCAACTTGACTGTCTAGGATTTTGTACCATATGTTATAAGCAGCTAGCTTTATAATTGTCTTGTCCACTAAATTTGTTTATTTAGCTTAATTGGTACTTAATAATCACACAGCACTTAAAAAGTATTTTTTCATATTCTTTTAGGAATTATGATGTGTTGCTCGGTTACTTGAGATCATACGTAAGTCTTTTGATTTGGTAAATATATTCTTAAGAAATTATATACAATAGGAGAGATGACTTATGATAGAAGAGAATGAAAATAAAGAATTCATGTGGCCAATCCTATTCAAATGGGACTAAGGCAAGGAGGATGATCGTTTGGTAAATATCTAGAAGGGTACCAACATGATATGCTGATCACATTTAGCAACAATAGGTTATGATATGCATTTATGACTCTTTGGAAGTGCAATGGTCACCCTACAAGTTGGTTAAATGAAAAAGACGTCACTCTACAGTTGATGATAAAAGCTCAAGTTAATCTTTTTTGTATACATTTTAACTTTTTGATTGTTTCCTGTTTATGAGAGTTGGATTTCTTGCTTTTCATCACGTTGGTGGTTGTGGAATTTATACCTGCTCGAAATGAGCTGTGTCTGTGCACACAAGTATTCACTATTGATTATAAATGATGAACATTGGTCTTCTCTAATGTTTTGAAATGAGAGGTTTTGACATGGGACACATTTTGGTGATCTTGTACTTGAGTAGAACATATTCTTCGCATGCAATTAAATTTGAACTTAGTTTCTTATCTCATTTGATTAGGTCATATGGCGACACAAAATACCTAGGCAAAGTAAAAATGAGATTATATTATTTAGTATGTGGAAAAAAGGTTTACCAGATCATAGATATAGCAATTTATTCATTTTGATGTCTTGCATTTGAATATATATTATAGGTCCAGTTGCCGAGGACATGTTTCACTGGCAAGCAACAATTATGGGTCCCTCCGACAGTCCTTATGCAGGTGGAGTGTTTCTAGTTACCATACATTTCCCTCCAGATTATCCGTTTAAGCCACCTAAGGTACTGCATTATCTGCTGTTAGTATTATGAAAGATGGGTGTAATGTCTTATGGTGCTTCATTTTAAATAAGAAGAGGCTAAAAGTTTGTATGATGTTAATCATTTTAAAATATGCTATAGCCTTTTGTGGTATAATAATCTATGCATGAAAGAAGATTGGTGAGAATTTGAAGTATAGAAGGTGGACGTATCTAATGGAATATCCTGTAGACTTGGTTTGAGAGAGAGGGGCAGAGTAAGCAGGGATACACATGATTGCATACGAGGTAGACTTTAGGATCATGTTGTATGTAGCATGCTCTTGTTTCTCCTAGTATGGCTCAAAAGAATTTTTATGTTTCCTCTTATTTTCCCCTCTTGTACTCACACACTCCTGAGTTGTGGCATATTTGATTCATACCACCTCATAACGCTGAAACCAAGATGCATTGGAGAGCCCCGAAACCATGACCAAAACAGCATTGAAAACCATATTCTTCATAAGAGTACTTAAAAAAAACTATATTCTTCATAAGAAGTGTTCACATTAAAACTAGTGTCTTTCTCCCAGTCTTGGAATCTTGGACACGGGATATATGAAACTATTTTCTACTTAATCATATGGAATTTGGCACTTTGTTGATCTTAACTATACATGCTTAACTTAATGGCTAATTTTGCCATGCTTTTTTTATGGATGAAAATTTATTGAAAATGTTTTCAGATAGTTTCCCCTTGTAGTTCTATTTACTTTGGATGGCTTTTGCAGGTTGCATTCAGAACAAAGGTCTTTCACCCTAATATCAACAGTAACGGCAGTATTTGCCTTGATATATTGAAGGAACAGTGGAGCCCTGCCCTTACTATTTCCAAGGTTATTATTCTGTTACTTCAAACCACTTTACGAAGGAAGATTTACATGTTTTAAAATAAAATACAGTGTGGTTGAATAAACTCTCCTACTCATGGCATCTGGTTCTATCGTTTCAGATGCTATGAACCACAAAACTCGACCCAATTGAGCAGTGGCACTTAGTTTTATGATCTGAAAGTAATTACAATTGAATATGGGAGGTGATATTTGCACTTTACTTTTTCATAATTGAACTCCAATTTTTAAAGTGAAATGACATCATTGTCTCTATTAATGAATAAGACAATAAGATATTAGGGGTGTTATTTGTCATTTAATTTGAGGAAAAACAAAAAAGGAGTGCATTTATAAAAGAGAAGTGCGAACCTCCCTTGAAAATTAGACTTGAAAATCTTGGAAGTTGGTCATTTGGGTTATCGATCTGCTTTTGTATCCCCAGGTCTTGAGGGTTTGTGTGTGGGTGTTTTGGGAGGCTGTGGACTGTGGGTCATCATGCATGTCCTCCAAAACTATTAGGAGTGGAAATTCATTTTTGGCAAAGTGCATGATTTCATATGGATGTTTAAGTGGATTCGTGTTCATCTTCAGGTATTGCTCTCCATCTGTTCTCTATTAACGGACCCGAATCCTGATGACCCTCTGGTGCCCGAGATTGCTCACATGTACAAGACAGACAGGAGCAAGTATGAGACAACTGCCAGGAGCTGGACCCAGAAGTATGCAATGGGTTAGCGCGTGCTGCCATTTGTGATAGGAGGGCTCCTTTACCTTGTGCTTTGGTCTTCTATCTGTAATTTATGAATGTAGAAGTAAGATCTGTCTGCTGTAAGATGGACCGAGAGAGGGAAAGGTTTAAATCCTGTCCTTCTTAAAAAAAACACAGGTGCTGCTTTTGAATTGTTTGTATGGTAAATTGTATGTGTAACTAAGAAGTATGCTTCTTAATGTTTGAAGGTCTTCACTCTTCATCACTTTGGTAGTTCTAATTCAAAATTCGAAAGCATAAGATAAGAACATGAGCGTAGTACTGCAAGTTCATGTTCTCATAATCTGTCACTTAAGCCTCAAGTTTACACTTCATTTTCCTTCCATTTCTAATTGAAAGCCTATATAGGTGACTTTCAACTACTCATGCAAGCCATTGGAGTTTGTACTGATCAATTCTTGTGACCCCAATTCTCGTGACCACTCTCAATTAACCTTGTACGTAATTAACAATGGTTGTAACAGTTATTATGGTTGAAATATCCCATGTGGTTATTGTTCCTGCACATTAGGTCAGAAAAACTTGCATGTGAGTGGGAATTTACTTGTCACTAACATTTATGATGTCATGATGATATCAATCTCTACTCACCTCAAATTAGTCGGAGAAAGATATTAAATGCAGTCACACCATAGTTACCTAGTAGCACTTGTACCCAGGCACGGACCCATTAAGAGCTCAGTGGGGCAGCTACCTCCATTGAAAATTTATTTTATTTGCAAAATTATTTATAAATTTCATTAAAATCTTAAAAAATGCTCTCAGTCAATTTCTAATGATACCTCATTATATATTATTGTTGTTCAAGATCGCCCCCTCTCATACAATTCTCTGAGTTCGTCATTGTCTGTACCAAGTTTACTCAATTTTTTTTCTTATTAAAAAAAAAAATTTGATTTCATAACTAATAGTGAACTTTTCTCCTTCTTCTTCTTCAGAAAAATAAGACCATTTTAAGGATGTAAGAATAAACCTAAATGGGACAATAAAATTCAACCAGTGTCATGAGGAGGAGTTTCCAAAATTCAAAAGGCCAGCTAAAATAATCCAACCATGTCATGCCTAGACAAGGTTGGTTGATAGGCATAAGAAGAAGAATAGTGAAGTAAAACATACACCAACTTTTAAGCAAATCAGGATAAATAACAGAATGCTCCAAACCAAACATACAGCTAAAGCTATAAAGAGATTCACAGTGAGATTTTCATATGTACAATTATATCAATAGTTTCAACTATCAACCATTTGCAACAATCTTTAAATATTTCTAAAAATAAAATAATTTTGAGGAGGATGGGAGGAATAAAATTGTCTGAGGCTGTCCACTTGTCGACACAAAGTTTTTGGAAGGACATTCCTGAATGACCCAAATGAATTGAATGCTTCATTTCTATTTTCAAAGTAGCTTTTCTTTTTATACCTTGAGCCTTTGTTTTTTTTTCCTCCAAAAGTTCAAGCAAACATATACATGTCCAAATGCAAAATACTGCAATTTCTAAAACGCATAAAGACTATGCTTTGAATTACATAAAGTGTAGTGATAGGAAGTTAACAGTCGGACAAATTCGACTAATTTATATGAATAGTAGAAGTTGATGTCATTATAGCATAAGTGATATTAATAACTTCGACCGCCATACATATAAACCAATTAGAATTGTTTGACTTTTGTACTTCAAATCATTATCTTTATATAAAACATGCATAACACACCCTTCAAGCAAAATTTATATTTATCTAAATTGCAAGTACTTTTGGGTATAAAATTTTCAAAATTGAAAGTAAATTTTCTGCGACTCCAATTCTAAGACGTCCATTGATAGAGTATCACACGCTAATTAAATACGATACATAAGTAAGAATACATCTATTTTAATGTGTCCTATTAATATGTGTCGGTGTTTAATTAACGCATTATTCCATGTCATCAATATACCATGAGCATTTAAGTTTTTCTCGTCCATTTGGTTCTCTTTTTAAAAAACAAACAAACAAATACATTTTCTGCACTTCATACCTCTTGCATTTGTATGAAACCTAAAAGACACTGCTAATTTTGGGAAACCAAAACCAGGGAAAAAAAAAAAAAAAAAAAAAAAAAAAAAAAAAAAGAATAAGAAGAAAGAAAATGAAATGCTTAGAACTGTTTTTTTCCATATATTTTATGGGAAACAAAACAGAGCATAGAATGGAGAATAAAGTTTACCATTGCTGGTTGGAGTTGGAGTTGGAGTTGGAGTTAGAGCTGGAGAAGGAGCCAAAGATTTAGCTTCAATTGCGGGCAAAATGATAGCAACAATTAGTGATAAAGCTGCAATGATACCAAAAGAAACCCTAGAAATCGCCATTTTTGCTTGTTCTGCTTTCTCTTGTTAATTGATCTTTAGTGTTTTTTTTTTTTTTTTTTTTTTTTTTTTGTACTCTCTCTATATGCGCGAGAGGCGCCTAGAGAGAAAGGGGCGAAGAATGATTTGTTTGAGAATAGGAAGCGGCCCAGAGATTCTGATGGATGCTAATGTTGCGGTTTCTTACCAGCAAGAGGAACAAAAACCGATAGATTTGGTAACCGGTAAAGACAAACTCAAATAACCAGTCTGTTCCCTTCTTGGTGCCAGAATCTACGTTCTTTTTCTATTATTTCCATTTTATTTTTATTTTTTTGACATCATGCTTAGTTTTGGTCGTCCCAAAACACTCAAAACTTTTTTTTTTTTTTTTTTCATTAACAAAAAAAGGTTGAAGCCCATATGGACTTACATTGCTATAAGTCCAATATAAAGCCTTCTGTTGGCCCAAGCCCTTTATAAGACCAACTACACAATTAACTATCTAATGACCACCATCAAGACACAGATGGGAAACATCAACAATCCATGGCTTCTAATAAAGCGGAAGAACAAATTGCATCAAAGAATAATCTAGGGAGGTTCCAATCAACTGCAATGGATGGCGCAAGGGGACATTTGCATCTTTTAATGGAGAAGAAAGGAAGCCGAACAGATTCAACAATGAAGTCCGGAGTTCATTCCAACTCTTGGGGTTTGTGTAGAAGCCATATTTAGCTTACAAATTGTTCCAAATAACAGTAGAATATGAACAATGATGAAAGAGATGGTTGTGATCCTTTGCTACACTAAGCTTAAGGCAGAGAGCATATACATTCTACTGCATTAGATAGCCGAGTGTTGGTTTGTCTTCGTGTAGGTAATTTGTCTTGTATGGCTAGTCATAAGCAAAAAGAGTGGTTGGTGAGATGGCCTTAAGGGTATATTTATTTGAGAGAATAGGTTTTGTTTGGGGATGGGAGCCATTAGAGGAGGTCATTTGTTTGTATTAAGGTTAGGTGGAGGAAAAGTGGTTGTGTCACCAACTGGGATTACATTATTTTGAATGAGCTTAGGCCATGCATGCCCATTCCTCATTAGAAATAAATGTATATATACCTTCATGTATTTGTTGATGTTCTAATCTAGTCTCGTTTTAGCATTTATGTGAGACCTCTCGGATCCGAGACACGGGTTGATCAGGCCCAAGCCCAAACCCGAGGGAATATCAAACAATTAAAGTATTTTAAATCGAACACAGAATAGAAAAATAAAGAATTTAAATATAAAATCCTCCAATGATAAATAATAAATTATTCCTCCAAAAACCTTCAAGGTTGTAACTTGGGAATCCAATTAGTGGACCCCTAAACCAAACTCCAACTGAAACTGGGTAACTGAAAGTAAAGATATTCCAAAACTAAATCATGAAGTGAAATCCTATGTCGTCAGTAGAATGAATGAGTGTAACGACCTGGTCTTTTTCCTCCTTTTCTATTTTCGGTGATTTTCTTTTTTTCATTTTTTTTTTCTTTCTTATTTCGTCTTTTCCTCGTTTATCGTTTTTCCTTGCTTAACCTCACTTCGGGTGTTTGGATTTGATTCCAGTTTTGCATGCATTCATAATACTTGATTTCCATGACATTTGTATTTTCACTTTTGTTGAAAAGCATGCTAGTTGCTTTTATTTTTCATAAAGGGCATGAATGCATACTTTAGTATAATTATTCATAATTTTTGGGATTTTAGTGTAATTATGCAAAATTATTATTTTTCATTTGAGGGACTTTTTGCAATTTATTTTAGAAGATATTTTGAAAAAAGGACCATTTTGCAATTTTTGAAAAGTGTGACAAGTGTCACACTTTCATGGAGCCATTTGTTGGCATTTAGGTGAAGAGACTTGGCACCATGACCTCTTGACATTTGGTGGGTGGAGATTCATCCATGTGTTGGCCTTAGATTGGTGCACATGTAACCATTTGATTGTTGACAAGTGTAAGCTTAGGATTAAGTCTTGGAAGAGGCATTGGATTAGTGATAAGTGTAAGGCCATGATGTAGTCTTGCATTGTGTGTGTGTGAGAGGTAATGCAAGAGCACATAGTGAGTGGAGGATCTCTAGCCCTTCCACTCACCATTTCTACACTTTACTTTCTTCATTTTATTATCTCACATGAACCCTAACAAATCCACCATTAGAGGAAAGCTTAGTTCATAGCTTACCCTTTCAATTTGGCTCACTTCCATACACCTTAGACTAAAAACCTTGGGAGAGAAAAGTTTCCTCTCATTCTCCTCTTCAAGAACCCTAAACTTGTTTTCCATTTTGTGTTTGGTAGCTTGGATTATAGAGATACTATTCTCTATTGAGGTAGGGGTGGTAGTATGTTTATTTTCTAAGTGTTTTGAAATTCTTTGGGGTTTAATATATATTGTATACATGCTTTTAGAATTGTAGTATTGCATGCTATAGGAAATCCTTATGATTGATCAAGCATGTATGTTGTGTATATATCTTGTGTAGGATTGTTGAAGTTGTATAGAATTCTTAATGATTTGAGTTCCTATGCTATTGTGATGGTAATCCTACATTCTATTAGATTACTATTGATAATCATGATTGTTTTAGAAGCTATTTGCTAAAATGCAAGCATTTAGTATATATGGCTTATTGTTGAGGCATGCTTAAATTGATAAATTAATGATATTGTTTTGTGCATTATATCATGTTAAGAACTTGTCATCTATCATGTCATTCTAAACTTGGAACCCTAAGACATGGTTTGTATGGTTTCAAAGTACTTGTGCATGGAAGGTGGTTTATATGCCTTATTATCTATATATAAGTTTTAAACTTGATATATATATTTTAGATTCTC